TATAATTATGATAATTCTAAAGCAAAATGAATAAAGAGAGTATTCAGGTAACTGCTAACATTAAGGCATTCATAATAATGAATTGAAAATCGCCCACTAAACTGCACTCAAGTAAAAAGTTATGAGATGAAACAGAAATTTTGCAAAGTTACCGTCGAATCAATTTTCAGCAACTCTTTCTTGGTTTCATCAGGAACCAGCAACACCTTACATACTTTAGCGATCAGCTTCTTCTGAAAGAACAAACGAATTTTGACTAATATGGGACTTAAACAGATGAATTATAATAATACAAACATAAGATAATGCGTTTATCTTAACCATTAAATGGAACTCAAAGGAACTAAACAACTGAATAAGGTTATCACATTGTTAGCATAAAAATGAAGCGATGACTTGAAATTTTCAAAAAATTCGAAAATTTGAATAAATTTCAAAACCAATCCGTCAAATCTTGATTCCAACTAATATTAGAGGTATAGGGCGATTGAGGCTTATTCGATGGAAATATTACCGATTTCATGTTGAACTTGCGATTATCGTATGCATTAATGATGAGTCTCAAGGCTGGATAGAAACTCGCTGTATAGTTGTTGGATGTCGATTCGGTTGTTTGACTTTGACTACGATTGTACGATGACCATTTCTCAAGCAACGACGTGAAAATACGTCGTCTTGACGTCTTTGCTTGTTTCGGAACATTTTTGATACATTGTAAATATTCGCAAAGCAACGAAAATTTGAACTCTTTTGAAATTGCTAAACTGCACTCGTCGATTTCATCCTCTTCTGTATCCATTTTCAAATCTGATTTGATCGTCTAAATTTTGTTTTTATTATATTCTTTTCGGAATCAATTATATTCACGTGAAAACATTCATTCACAAAACTTGGCGCATAACAACGAATCGCATAGTACACAAAAGAATTTCACTCATGAGAACAATTGTAATAGGTATAAGCTGAATCTTCATCAAATTAACAACAATAACAACGAGAATAACAAATTCCATGATAACAATGAAATAACAACAATGGCCGATTCAAAAAAACACCATAACAATAACCGAAGAACTTTTTCGAATGCGTAATAAAAGTATAACGAAACTTTTTGCTGGCTTCAAGGAAGCCCCGAAATAAAATTTGTCAATTTTACAAAAGTTATCAGTGGAGTTAGAAATCTGTACAGAATTAGAAATCTGTAAGAAAAATAATCACCAGGAAGAGGAGACATGACCTAATAATATGCAAATAATTTTGTTCCAGTGCACATAGTAATACAATTGAGCAATCGGATGCTCTTTCACGGTGCAACAATAAGGAAATGAAAATTGAAAAATAGACAACTGAAGGAAAGTGAATGGACTAAACGGATGAATGAACTATGAATCTAAGGAAAGTTATAAAATTTCGCTAAAGATGTTGAAATGAAAATGCACAAGAATTTCGTATCCATTGAAGTCAATTTCAAAGTTGCAATCAGAAAACTTCCTTTCCAAATTTTCGCCTACTGAAGGAGGAAAAGAGTATGATCCGGGGCAGCCGAAACGCTTACGGGTCGCTTCGACAANACAACCTGGTATGGGAAGTATTGATTATTGCTATGTCCTAGACCCAAATGCGAGAAACGATTCACACCCCATGCGAACAAATTATCCTCCTCTGATATGGCGAACATCGACGTATTTCCGGCAAAAACCCTTCTCACCAAACCCGCATCTCCGGGACCTCCACTGAACAGATTAGCTTCTAGAAGCGTCGGTCTTGTCGTGGAACTAATATTAGGACCTTGTCCGAGAACTCCGTATCCCCAGACATATACCTGTCCATCTTTGGTGAGCGCCACACATGATGTGGCCGTAGAATCAGCGTATGCTATGGGCGAAATTTTCAATCTAATATGACGACTGAAACCTTCTTGCATCTCTGCCGAAAACGGCTTCATTTGAGAGTACTCATTTTGGCCCCACATAAACAACTCACCACGCTCTGAGACAGCCATCAACGTGTCAGTACTACCTTTTAACGAGACAATTTTGACGCCTTCTAAATCACCCTCAACCCGCTTACAGTGCCAGTCGAACGGCTGCACCCGACGTCCCAGCTGTCCATCCGTACCTAGGCCAAACGAGAAGATTTCTCCAGATTCCATGAGCACAAACGACGAGTCAAGAGTACAGTGAACTTGTTTCAAACGAGAATCGGACGGCAATTCAATGCGACCAGCAGATTTCGGGTTGTTCGGCAGAAGAAATTGCGTTTTCTCGGGATTTTGACCGCACTGTCCGTGGGCGTTATCGCCGAAAGCATACAATCGCTTATTGGTTGCCACCAGAAAATGTCTTCGTCCTGCTGCTATATCGATAATCTTCTCTCTTGCCGGATCACTGTCAACGCCGCTGTCACTACCATTCGTATCGCTTGCTTCTTGATCGCTCACGTTGAACATGAGACGTCTACCCCTTGACCAGAAACCATCCGATTTCAGTTCGTTGCTGAAAATATTAACGCCACCACCGTAGAGTCTCGTTCTCGACGCGAACACCGAGAATCCGAATCCACTCGCAATCGCCGTGATTGCTTTCGAGTTACAGTACGTGATATGCGTTGGTTTTTTCAGTTCCATTGCTTCACTGTTGAAGGCGTTTTTGACTGCCGAACCGTTCATTAGACTTCCCGAGGCAACAAGGCCACAACCGTAGACGGATTTCGTTCTTGGTGTGGATTTCACTGCGGGTTTCTCATCAGACGGCGTCGACGAAGAGGGATTCGTTGACGCAAAACGAACTAAACTTTTCGACGGCACCAACAACAGTTCTGGTAGACTGTCTACCAAAGGTCTTCCAAGCATTTTCGTTATCTGAAATTTATAGGAAATGCAATAATTCGGTTGAAATAACAGTGTAAGAACATAGCGATTTTTTTCTTAGAATTTACTATTTCTTCAACATTTTTAATCCAGGCTAAGGATTGTTACGGCTTATTAGTCCACACTTCACTATGCATTTAAAAAATGACGTCGGAAGGAATCCTAATAAACTGATAATGAGAAATCCGTAATAATAAATTCACCAGCTAATATACAAAAAACACTGAATGAACTAATTGTTTCAATATTATCCAATGTAAAGTTGCACAATTGGATGGACAGATGAAGTAACATAACTTTTAAAAACCCCTATCTATCAACTGATATGGAAAAAAGCCCCCAGTAAAGCAGTGCTAAAAATTATCCCCATCCAGCTCAAATTTATGTGCTAATGAAAAAACATCGATTCAGTGTATTAGCCAACGCAACCAATAAATAAACTGTCACAATGCTCAAAAGCTATCCACATCACATTTCAAATAGCGATTACATGAAATGAAATGTTAAAAACATCGAGCAAGATGTCATCGATACAACCAGCAAAAATATCTTGAAAACGGAAATACCTGCGGAAAAGAACGAAATCTTTCATTAGACTGAA